AGTCTGCTGCAATTTTCTTGCTGTGGATCACAGGAATACAAAGAAATACATACCTCTGAAATCTCCTTACCTGGTCTCCTGGAGTAGTAGTAGGTTGTTGGCATACTGGTAGTGTTGGGTTGCGTGACCAAACTTCACTGCTGTTCCTGCCCGTGCTCTGCCAGTTTTCTAGGTACAAAGCAGACTTCGGTTCCTCATGATCGTCAAGTTAGCACCTTTCTGCAACAATAAATGTAAAATAAAGCAGAAAAAAGTATTTGAGGCAAAGAAAGGAGCTGTCTGCAGTAACATGGTAGAAAAAAAGAAACCACATCAGATGAAATTATGCACATGGCTGGCAGTAATGGAAATGTACAGCAGAACAGAAATGTGGAAAATGTTGGCAAAGATGAGGAAAAGAGATTACTTTTATATTTAGTTTCTTTTCAATATACTGTAAAACTATTTAAACTAGACATTCCAGCTAGGAAAAGTTGCAGTGTTACCTGGCATTGTGTTGGTGATTTTTCAGAATGGGTCTTGAGCTTCAAATTCTGTGGGGAGATACGAGATTTAGCAAAAATGTAGAATGTGGGCCTAGGGTATTCCTATTAACTGTTGCGCAGCGATGGCTTAGGATATGTTGCAGTACTTTAAGCAAAACTTTTCAGTCTAAGATGCTTAAATTGTCCATATGGACCTGAACTCTTCAAAGTAGCAAACAGATGTATTTGGCATTGACATTAATGGCATTTTGAGCTGCTTTTACAGCTTAAAGATACAGAATAAATGTGCTTCCCCCCCCAAAAAAAAAATCTGAAATATATTTATTTTAAGAAGAAGGGTTTAGGTTGGGGAGGGAGTAGAAAGAAGATAAATCTGGTGAAGAACATCTTCATAAACACAATCAATAGAGACATAGCTTGGTGGAGATAGTCATGTGGAGTTAAAGGCTTTTTTGGGTGAAACATAGGAGGGAGGGAATCAAAACATGCATCTTTTCAACATGCTTTAGAGCATCCCCTGATCAATACTTTTCTAGTTAGAGATTTAAGAGTTCTGTCCAACAAAGTTGGCTGCATACCCTTGTTCAGTAAAACAGCTAAGCATATGTGGAATTTTAAGAACATGCTCATGTGATGTCTCTGTAGGAATGTTTACTTAAGGCTAGGAACTCATTTTATACTTCAGAAAATTTACTTTAAAAATCATAGCCAAAACGATTACCATTAGCTATTAGTTTATTTGGGAGGATTAGTTTTGTGCAACTGTCTGAAACATCAAGAAATCTTTAGCTTGAGCAGCTGAAGGTCATATCCATGACAGTAACTTTACAGGGATTTTTTAAAGTAATTTTTCTGGTTTGCTTTTTATTTTTTTTATTTTTAAGGAAGCTTGAGAATAAAACTAATTGTTTGAATAAGCTGCCTGCTCTAACAGTCCTTTAAAGAGTTCTTACTTAAATGATTATTATGTTGACTAATTTCACAAGCTTAGAGCTGCTGGAATGAGTGCTGGCACTTAGTATGTCCTTCAAGTTCAGTGTTTCTATACAAATATTTTGAGTTCTGGGAAAGATGAATGCTTGCTGTTTGTGCAAGCATCAGTCTTTTTAGTATTCAATGGTAGGCTTGCTAACCATGAGAACAATGAAGTTATAAAGCTTTAAAAAGACTTATAATTAAAAGTACAGAATCAAGAAAACTCCAAACTGTTAGGAAGGAGATTGACAAAAAATATACAAAATATACAAAAAATGTGACATCTGAAATATCGAGGAACCAGACTGAAGGCAGTTTCTTTTCAGTGTTGTGTACCTGTTCTAGAAGGGATAGAAGGGCTTTCTGATAAAACTGGCCAAAATCAGTCCCATTAGATACCGGATATTCTGTTAATATTAACTACTCAAATGACTTTTCAGAAAAAGATGTGGCTGTGGGTTACAGTGTATTAACTTCAGCTGGGCTTAATTCAGACCCATTAGCTTTGGTGGTGGTGGCTGACGTTCAGCTTGCCTGCAGCTTGGATCGCTTGTCCAGTACCTACCACTGAGTTTGTAATAGGCAGCTGAAAACAAAAATCTAAATAAAATTATAGTAGTAATCTCTCTGGGAGAGTGTATATTGCTGAAAGGAAGGCTGGGAGAAGCTTTTCTTTTGCATGTGCTGTAAACACAAAACAAATGCATATTTTTATCTTTTTTTTTTTTTTAATCTCTTATGTGGCTTTTTAGATCATTCCATATGTCTTGTCTCCTTTTGCTTTTAAAAAATTTAAAGATAATTTCTAAACCAGTCTTTTTATTTAATATGCACACTTCATGCATGCGCATACACTTTGAGTTTTTCATGCTTCTAGCTTTATTTAATCACAAAATGTCCCACCTTTCCCTATTTTTGAAAAAGTTTGTCTCAAGTAGGAGCTACTTCCCTATTATATTTCAGTTTTGCAACCCAAATTACTCAGGCTTTAGACCCTAACAGGACAGATTTTTTAAAAGGAGAAAATTGTTTTTATTGTTGTCAATTGTTTTTACATTCTTCTTTTTAACAAAAAACAATTAACGTGCTTATGTTCAAATCTTTTAGATAACAGCAATCACAAAGATGGAGATGAGAATTGAAGAAGTTTTAGTTTTGAAAACAAAATCTTAGGGAAGTCAAAAAGGCCTGTTCTAATGACAAGTTTTGGATAAACTTAGCTGGTTCTGTCATGGTGCATTCCAGTTTATAGCGGTTCGATGTGCTTGTATATATGTATGCAAAAACCTTTTTGAAATAACCTTAATTACATACTCACTGAAAAGAAAGAAAATCCTGTCTTTTCTGTATAGGTTGTTATCAGAATACCAGATGTGAGCACTATCAAATACAAGATTGATTTGTTCATTTTGTTTAAATAAAAAAAAAGTAAGATTATGTTTATTAAAAACCTTCACCCTACATTTACAGTCCAAGCTGATAGGAGGTGAAATAACAAATTTTTTTAACCCCTTTCTGATTTTCTAGCTCAAATAGAGAGGTTATCAGAAACCACAGCTGTTTAGGAATGGGATACTGAGGGTTTGCTAATGCAGGAGGGGAGAAGTAGGAAGGAAGAAGAGAACTGCCTGAGAGCAGAAGCTCACATAAGGAATGGAGGTGGAGCTGCAAGAAAATCCAGAATTCTACTGTGCCAGGAGCTGGAAATACTAAATAGCTTGCGTTACAACCTATTTAGTTACATTTCTGAACAGAGGCTTAGTAAACCTCTACACTGATCTATCTGGATGCTGAGCTGTTGTAAGTTCTTGATGCTTGGGGTTTGTCTCTCCCCAGTTGCACCATGTAGTGATATTCCATGACCTACCTGAAGTATGTGTCTTACCCAGTTCTTGATGGCTCGATAATGGCAAGGCTTAATTGCCTTGGATAATCTCTACCAAAGAGAGAGTGAGTTCTTTATGGATTGCAAGTGAAAGTTATTACAAATGAAACTAGCCCATTTGTAGCTTTACAAAGAGCAGTCCACCTTACGTGCAGATAGTTTATAATAATAAGCTGTGATATCAGTTAATATACAATCAATAACAGATTCACTGTGGTTAATTGGCACAGAGTATACATCATTCATATAGCATGACTAATATAGCAGCACAAAATTTTCAGGTCCCAAGAAGCTGGGTGTTTTGTTTGTCCCAGGAGAGGGGTGCAAGCAGGTGATAGGCAATAACTGAGTGAAATGGGAGAGATGAAAACCTACTTACAAATGCACGGTGAGTTTGTGTCTTCATCCAATAGGCTCATCAAGTGGGAAAGCTCAGGAATTAAGAGGCAAGTGAAAGCACATCCATTTCTTTCTTTATTTTTAAATGAGAGGGAGCAATCAATCACAAGGCAGCAAGTTATTTCTTTACAGATTTCTTTTTGAAAAAAATGCTGGGTTTCCAAAGAAATCACACAACGAGTTAGCATACACGTTGTCATAAAGTTAGCTGCTGCAAAAATCTATTTCAGGGAGCTTCTAATCAGTCTTTTTACCAGAATACCATATGAGCTAGTTTCAGACACTACTTATTTTCTCTTTACTTTACAATCCTTCCCTTCTGCGTCCAAATTGCTCATTGCAGTCTAATGCCAGATCAGCCCTTAAGGCGTCAGAGGTATTTGTTTTCCCTCCCAAAACCCACAGTCAGGCACTTGGCATTAGTGGCTATGTCATACCAAACTAATTAATAACAACAGACATATTTTGCATCCCCTGTGTAAGTATAGAGGAGAACTAAATCCAGGAAAAAGACAGGATGTATTTGTACTACCTGGTGAGATTTTCTTCTTTTGTCTAATTCTTTATTGCCCTTTATTTTGCTTCCTTATGTAATCAGTATTTAGACAAGAAGCTAGAAGAGCTGGGAATTGGTTGAAAGCTTATACTATTGATACTGCGGCAAGTTTTGTCACTGATTTAAATGGGAGCAAAGTCAAGCCTTCGGTATTACTCCTAACAGCAAGACTAGAATTTTATTTGGACAGATACTGAACAGGTCTTATGATATATTCTGAAAGGAGAAAGCTCAGGGATTTACAGACATTTTCACATATCTTCAGACACAGATTTCTCAAGCAGTGGCAGGCAGCAGTATTGTAATGCTCTGACAATATAAAAAGTCACAGGCAGTTGACACAGTCATTCCCATCATTTGCAAGATGTTTAGAAGTAGCAGCATTGAGATATTTTTTTTTTTTAACGCTCAATTTAAGTGCTTGATTTTTTTTTTAAATGTCAGCAGTATATACTTACATAGCTGAAAATGCCAATTCACTATTTTTAAATTTATCTCCATTAGCTGATATAAGGTTTAAAATACGTATGTGTATAATATTTTCTGCATTCTCATAAAGGATGCCTAGGAACAAGTGAGGAACTACCAACTCTACAATACTTAAAACTCCTTCTATTCTTATCCAGAGAAGCCAGAAAAGTTGCAATGGTGAAAGGATAATTATAATATATGTCTTTTCCTCTCTTTTTGTATCAATTAGATATCAGCATGAATCAATTCCAAGTCCACTGGTTACTGGAGTCCTGTGCACGCAATGACACCAAAGGACTTGGGAAAGTAACAGAGCTGGCTCATGTAAGTCTCCATTCAGCCTTCTGCTTGACTCTGAATAGCTTCTAAACAGCAAAAGAAAGGATGGTTCTGTAATATAACACAGTATGCTTTACACCATGTTTTGCAGATAAGTAAGACTGTTTCTTTTTTATGTTACTCTTCAGCAAAAGAAAAATAATGCATCTGGACTGGTTTGGGTTTTGTTTTTTTTCTTTTTTAGAATCCACACTAGAATAAAATCTTTTTTTTTTTTGGTGGTCTTATTCGGAAAACAAGAGCAGGCAAACAAACTTCTTAGCTAAGTACTTAGATATTTCTACAGCATACAGAACATGGAGCTTTATCTATAATTAGTACTGTAGGACTCTAGCACAGTGCAAATACTGAACAGTAATAATAGTAATTAATAAACTAGGTTTTCTTTTAGACATGCAGGTGGGTTTCACAACCCTGAGGAGAATAATAGAATAAGAGAAAAAGGCCGTAGGTGAAAAATACTAGACATTAAATCTGGAAGTCAGACAGGTATCAGGTAAGGAGAAAAGCTCTATGTAACTACATGTCAGCCCAAATATATACTGCAGTGGCAGTTCTTCGTACCCAATTTGTTGGCAATCTAGTGTCATCTGTCTCTGTGACACATTATTTGAACAACATAGTAATGTGATTGGTGCATCGCAATTGATTTAGTGGGTTATGGAGAAAGGAAGGAGTCACAATTCACCTTTCCTTCTTACCCTGACCTATACTACCGGATCATTTCAGTGGAGTTAACGACATGTAAAAGTAGAGTAAATCAAAAGACATCATTTCTCCCACAGGAGGCTGTTGGCTTGTAAGATTTACTGCTTCCTGGGGTCAGCAAAGCAAATATTAGAGGTGGATTAAAAAAATGATTGTGACATTGTGTTATGATCAGTCCCAATATTTCAAGTTATGCACACTGAAGCTAGGAGAAAGTTAACATTTAAGAAGTTTATTTCCACTAGAGGTCAGGAAAGACTCTTTGTACATCTGCCCAAATGCATTGTGGGATTAGTTCATTTATTTCCTCTCAATCATCGTATGGTAATTGGTCCAATCTACTTCGGGAAACTTTCTTTTGAGGCAGAAAATAATTACAAGCAAACAGAAGAAGGTGGATGCTATGAAAGGTTTGGTGCTGGATATGATAGATCAAGGTAGATAAAGGCCTTACGTTTCCAGCGTTGAGCATTTAGGCTCTGTCACAAAAAATAAAAATAGTCCTGTCACAACTTTAAGGAGGTGTCAAGCCTGTTAGAGCACTCTTCTGGCAGGTGGAAGGCGGGGAGTCAAGTCCCTTCTCAGCCCAATGTCTATGTCCTGTCCAAAATGACCTTCAAGTGAAGGTTAGACTAATCCAATTTTGGATTAGAAAAACAAAGGGAGTTATGGAGAAGAACGCTGGAAATTAGTGATTCTGAAGGAAAGTAAAGATCTAAAGGGCAGTGAAAGACTTTTGACCTTAGTCAGTAAGGTATTATTGGACAACTTCCCGGAAAAAGAAAACCCGAACATTTTTTTCTCATATATGATTTGGGCTAAAGCTTTCAGGCTGTGATTTTCAAAAGTACTTTAGACAACAGTAAGAATTTAGCAGGACACTTACACCTTGTGTAAAGTTTTCTTCTCCAGTCATTGGCTTTAAGCAGAGACTTGTGCTTTGTAGTTCAGCTGTGGAGCTTTTCTTCCTGATAAGAAGGTAGAAGTAGTTAATGTACTAAAGCGGAAAAAAATGGATCCATAATGCCATGCTGGACTTTTAAAAAGTTAAATGTAGATGAAGCCTGTCATTTACAGCAGCTTAGCTCAGCTTTCTTACATTTATTTAATTCGATTAATATTTACATCCTCACATTGCTACCCCCACTGCCATCATGTCAGAGAGACTGTTCTAAATGTTAGAAGCCGGTTGCTTTGATGCAGCGTGGCGAAGGAACCGTGTAGAATTGAAGGACATATCCAAATACCATGCTAATATATTTTACTACTGAAAATAATCATGACATAGGCAATGTTTGCTTTGTTCTCTGAGTAAAAGCCATGTTGGCGTGTGTTAAGCGTATCAGGAAAATACTTTATTGGAGAAAATTTTTCATCTTCTGCCAACCTTATTTTTCAATTCCTTTTTTTTTTTTTTTCTCCTAGAGGTCTATTTGCAGCATGTGATCTTTCTGTTTTTCTTGTTGTAGGAAAACTACATGATTCTGAAGGACCTGTCATTTTCATGCAAATATAAAGTAACTGTTTTGCCTGCAAAATCTAAAGGTCGTTTTAAGGCTGAGAGTATTTTCTTTGTTACTCCACCTTGCTCTGCATTTAAAGAAAAAAACCACAAGCACATTAATTGTCCTGCTGAAGGAGGTAAGGCATGATCTGGAGAACTAGTAAAATAGTTTCAAACGCATTTATAATCACCAGGAAAAAAAAGTCTTTAAAAGCAATTTTTAAATGGGAAATGAAAGATTCAGAACAAATAAAAATATGACTAATGCTTATGTGAAAAATCAACTAAAATACAGAGCAATATAGATTTTGGCTAGTATATTCCTGTTTTGTCAATTAGGTGGTAATTTTAGTGGGCTGTTTATAAACATGATGACATTTGTTACTACACAGTTTTTATTTTTGTAAGAAGGAGCAGTTTCCCAGTTATATTTATTATAATGATGGATGATAACTGTAAACATAATTATGCTGGCATGACCCATCTTTTGAATGTTTTGCTAGTGATGCAAGCTGCTTTTTCAGTTTGAAGTTGTTTAGGTTAATTCTGCTCTCAAATAATAAAGGCACTCATACCTTCTACAGCATTGCCACAATGGTAGATATAGCTAGAGGGTTATGGAAATTGCGGAATTATGGAGATACTGGTTGGAAAGGACCTCTGGGGTCAGCTAGTCCAGCTGCCCACTTGAAGCAGGTTAGCCATGGCTTTGCACCCCAAGGGTACTCCCACGCTCCGAGGATCACCTCACCATTTTTTGGTGCCTTTTCCTCACTACCCTTCCTGACAGTTTCCAGCATTACAGCTTTCCTGGGCAACTGCAACTCAGGCATATGTTTCCCCTAATGAGAGTGCCCCTGTTAACTTGTACTACAGTTTTAGAGCAAGAATTTTGCTTTTTGCCTGCATTGTGGAGTTCTGCGCTATCCTGTGTGTTTTCTTGTGGTGCTGAAACTGAAAATCAGAGCTCGGGTATTCTGAAATACAGAGGAGCAGGAGGATGGCTGCGGGTGAACGAGGCACTTACTTACTTATATCTTTACATGTCATAGGCTTTCCTTTCTGTCACCTGCAGCTGACAGCGTTTGATCTGAAGTTTGAATTTCGCCCAAAACGCCAATGGAATATATCAAAGATAGGATTTAGTTAACACTGAAAATGCGATGCCAGAAAGCTGGCGGGATCGTGGGTAACACCAGAAAGAGAGCTCTGTCTGACCTTGATTTGTGGAATTAAATGAACATTATTGACCATTACCTCTGAAAGTTTAGCTTATCTTTTTGCTTTCCAAATTTATAGTGCCGGTTCTACCCAAAGTGTTGGCCAAACCCGAGAATCTCTCTGCGTCTTTCATTGTTCAGGAAGGTAACATCACCGGTCATTTTTCCTGGAAGATATCTAAGGCAGACCTTCACCAGCCCATGACAGGGTTTCAGGTCACTTGGGCAGAAGTAACCACAGAAAGCCGGCAGAACAGCTTACCCAACAGCATCATTTCACAGTCGCAGATACTGCCAGCAGTAAGTTGGTTGTTACTTTCCTTTGCTAGCGGCTTCATAAGTGTGTGCGTACGTGGCCTATTTTTAATGTTTAGTGGCGATGCAGGTGTCGCACATCGCGTTCTCTGGCTCTGCAGGCAAGTTGGAGCAGGAACTGCTTAATTTTTCCTCCTTGCTGGAGCTACAAAGCACAGCTACTCTTCCTGATGACACATCAAACATTTTAATGAGCACAATTGTCAAATTAACAACCATTGTCTGAGAAATGCCTGAAGGGAGGAAAAGATCATCTGTGTGGCAACAGATAGTTTTTATTTTCTTTTGATGATCAGGCTGTTCAACTTGGCAGTTACTACGGTTTTACTAATTATTTGGTGTCCAAGTTGATGGATTTAAGAGAATTTCTCTTCCTTTGAGTCACTCATTGCTCTAAGAAAAATAAAAATCACTTCCCCCTCTGCTAATACGCACCATTGTCCGATGGACAAACAATTTAAAGGAGAACTAAATTTCACTGTTTATTGAAAGGATGAGAACTGACAATTTGAATTCTTCCTCCTATTTAATTTAAAATGGCCTTTGCTGTTTCAGTTCCTCCTCTGGCAGAGGCAGGTGAAGAGCACTTCATTCAGGCTCTGCTGCCAGACCCACCAGAGTCAACAAAAAGGCTGAAGCAGCTGGACTTGGTCCAGTCTGCTGACAACACTGGGAGTCTTTCCATTCACTTAGGGAAATGGATCAAGGCAATTGTGTCTAGAGCAGAACGGGCTGAAAATCTTTTCACGTTTGTTGCATCAAAGAATGCGTAAAATGTTTTGTTGGACACATCTTACATCCAGCACATTTTCCACAAATCCAAGACAAGGTTCTCACCATTCTGTCCTAATTCCTAGCAGACTGCCCTAGGGCCAGGGCACCTGTGTTTCAAAGCCTGTTGTTCTGGGGGAGAGCAACAGAATTGACCGCAGATGCTCTAAAACTATGGGGCAAGCTACCCCACAGCGTGCAGAGTTGTTCTGTTACAGCTTAGTGCAGACTCGGTGCGATCCGCACAGATTCACTCAAAGCTCGACAACAGTCCAGAGCAGAAGCACAGCGCAGATACCGCCTTGGTCTCTTCAGCAAGGGTTACCTTGAAGTGGTTACTCAGTCACAGAACTTTGGCAGCAAGCAGCCACTTTAGCACAATAATAAGCAAAGTTACAAACCACGAGATGTTGATTTCCACTTTGGTTTTCATCTTTTTTTTTTTTAGGAGCAGGTGCATGTTTTCTTCAGAATTTCTATTCCTTTTTCTTAATCTTTTGGTCCAGTTAGGTCTGAAATATATGTAATTTAATTTTATTTTAATAAAGTAATTATTTAATTCTTTAATTCTTTATCTTTTTTTTCCTCTGGTTTCACTACCATAGAGCCTGGAGATTCCTTTTATTTAATTATCTGTCACTATGTGTATCTGTCTATTTATGGCAACCGGTTACCTTGCAGAAAACTCTGATTTGAGTTGAAACAGTATCTTGCACCTCTCAGAAACCACCAGAATGTAGGATATTTTACGGTGAGGATCATTCACTCATTCTTGTTGGTAGCCTCTGACTGATAAAAATTTAATAATTACACAACCAGGGCTGAAACGCATAGGTCCCAACTGCAAGAGGAGTGCCTGAATGAGCAGAGTGTTTGAGCGTGATGCACGCACTCCTCTCTCTCCTACCCATTCAGTATTTTATAAGAGGTGGAACAGCTTCAGCAAGGTCTATTAAGAGCAGCCCCATCTCAGACTACGTGCCAACTTGGCAGTGAAACTATATGTTCCCCCCCACCTTTTCTCTCTCTCCTTTCCCCTTTACTGTCTGCTCTGGCAGTAACAGCAAATTATCAGTTATTCCCACAGCTTGCTTAGGTCTCCCTGCATGGCCAGGAATTTGCAGTGCCAGCCAAAAGAACTTGCCCTCCAAATTTCTGGCTAGCCCAGCCTGGCTGGTGGCAGGAGCAGAGCGTGCCCGCACTGTTCGGTGTCACTGCCCTGCTGGCCGCTTCATGAGACTGGGCCTTTTCAGTTCAGAATGGGATGAATCAGGACTTTTGATTCCTTAATACTCTTTAGTCTTTAGCCAGATGTATTCCCATTTGGGAGCACTTATAAACTTACTCTGAAATTATTTTGCACAGGTGTAAGTGACCACAAAAGGTACAGAACAGTGAAAAGTGAGTGCGTCATGCCAGAAATGGGATTAAGAATAGAAGACAAATTCTTAGAGTGTAATTGGGACAAATCTGCTGAAATCAGTGTAGCCACACTTACTTTCACTAGCTGCAGCAGGGGCCTCAGGCCTGCCATTAGTTAATTTACCAATTAGTAGAATTCACAGGCAGATGCAAAATAAAAACAAGTTTATATAATGAACAAGTTTGTTAAAAAGAATGATTCGGAAGTTACTTTTTTTTTGTTTTAGTGATGAGCACATCATCCATTTTACAGAACACTAAGCAACAATTTGGACCTGTTACACTTGAAACCATAACATTATGGTAAAAAAGTCTGCTCAAAGGGGATGGCAAGCAAAGCATTCGAAACAAACCCTCTCAACAAAGTGATGCATATGTTAAATCCTTTTAACAGAATTCTAAGAAAATAATTTCTGGGTGCTGAGAGTGCCAGAACTTGTTTAAACCAGTGATTTGTGTGAGTAGAGCAACCGTGTTTTATTTTTAGATGCTCTGAGAATTAATGCGATTTATTTATTTTTAGGATCATTATGTACTTACCGTGCCCAATCTGAGGCCATCGATGCTGTACCGCTTGGAAGTTCAAGTGCTGACAACTGGCGGGGAAGGGCCAGCTACAATAAAATCGTTCCGAACACCCGACCTTCCTCTATTTTCACCCCACAGTAAGTACTACACCGTTTTGACATGTGGTTACGTGTTACAAAACTTCAGTCCTCCACATATAAACAGTTTGCTCGAGACTTTATTGGTTCCAGTAGCATTCCATAAACTTAAGATTCCCCCCGCCACCCCATGATGGTCCGTCAGCAATGATGGAAGCGAATGCAGTCTTTCTCTCATTTAGTTTCTGTGGTCTGACGTTGGCCATTCATCCCACCACAGGTCTTTGGCTTATGCCTATAGTGCTTGGGATTCAAATTTGGTCTGTCCTCCAGGTGCTACCTAGGCCTGGGATTCCTTGGCTTTCAAGATTAGATTTTTCTGGGTGCATACAGCCCAGCACAGCTAGAGCCTGATCGTATTTCTAAAGCAATGCAAACCTCCTGATGGCCGTTTCCAGCATTTTATGTGTTTCTGAAAAGTACAGCTCAGTGTTGCGAAGCCCAGTAAAAAATACAATGAATTAGTCCAAGATTCATCTGCTTGAATCTTTTTCTCCGTTCACAGTCCCACGAAAGTTGTCTGGACAGAACATGCACATAGTTGTCAGCACAGGCAGTTCACTTATAAGCTAAAGGCCTCACGAAGCCTTTTTAGCATGGATAAAGGTTGGTATTACGTATTCAGGGTTTGATATATGCGTATTTTCCTATTTTTTTGTTTAGGACCTCATCTGAAGCAACATCATCCACATCACTACAAGCCACCCCCAGAGAAATATTAGACTGTTTGAGATGATTATACAAATAACTGAGAGAAAAACTGAGCTCCCAAATAAAGGCTGGAAAAAGGCACATCTGCAGGAGCAATGAACCCAGTTTTCCAGTGGAAGTTACCATCCTGTACGATCTGTACCTACTTCTCTGTAGTTTAGCCATGAAGAATTGTATTTGCACCAAGACCAGGATGAAACATAGAGCACGTATCATTTCACTACCACCACTATTCAACAAACTGAAGATCGCATCCAACTCTACACCTGTGAGAAAATCAGAAGTGTGTTCATTATAATGCTTTTGTATTTCTATGTTTAAAGTAGATTGAAACGGTGCGGTGTATGCAGTTTTTCTCTTAGTGACTTCAATGTTAATATTTGCAAGGTTGTCCTGTGATGTATACATACTTTCGAACACTAGAGACCATGTTCTCGTCAGCGTGTTTAAATGATCTATTTTACTTAAAGCTCTGCCTGTCACCAGTTTAAGGCCTAGTGTATTTTGCTATTAAAGAAGATCTCCATATGTCTGAAATAGGGATGTATGTAAAATAAATACCGGTAGCAGAAACCCTACAATAGTCAGTTTTTAATAATTGCAGTATCACCACAGAGGAGGAGGGTGATATCTTTGTATCACCCATCTGTTCTGAAGTGGTAACGTTTTAGCATGTAGATCTTCTATTAATGTAGTTAATAGCTAAAAAATATACAGGGTAGATGTACCATTGTAAAGAAACAAAAGGCAATTAATAGAATTGTTGAAAATTAACGGCAGTTAATACAATTACTTGACAAGTCGTGGAAGAATGACTTTTAAAATCCCACTTATAATTTTTTGGTATATTATATTTCAAGGAATAATAAGATCTTGAAAAGAAACACCATTTTTCGAGTTAAAAATCTGAATAGTTAACATTAACATTTTAGAAACTGAAATTCTGAGGCACATTTATTATTCAAGTAGCCTTAGAGCTACTTTTTGGCTTTGTATTTTGATGCACATATTTCTTTTCCCCATGGATCTTTTGAACAGAAGGATGGATATATTGGCTCTATTCTGCTGTTCTGCTTACAGAAAGAATTATGTGACAATATTCTGGCATCTGGAAAACATTGGCTTATAGTTTATTTGAATGCATTTTTCAAATTTAGACAGAAGGGTGCCCTTTTTAACCATAAGGGAATTCATATTGCCTTATTGTGCAATATAAACTGTCTAGAATAATTTGCCACACAGAGAGACATACCTCGATAATAAACAGAAAATGCTTGGATTTATTATCGAGAGGGTGGAAAATATCTGCCAATAAACGTCCATACAAATACTCGTAATCAGCTTCTAAAGTTCAAGATGTTCAAAGTGCTCCTGCGTTCTTTGGCACCATTTCTGTTCCTCCCTAAATCATGATATGAGGCTAACGTACCTCAAACACTCCGGAGTCAACCTTGACAAGGTGGCCGCTTTTCCTACCAGCAGATGCTACAGCCTCACCTGTACTTCGTATTTGCCCGAGATACTCAGTGAGAGCAGCTCAGACATTAAGTGGTAAATCTATTTTCCTGCTCTTGATGACAAACTGCTTTGTGGAAAAGCAAATATGAAGAAAAGAAATACATACCTGAAACTGAGGATCAGAGTTATGTTTATCATAGTAGAGCATTCAGAAAATATTCAAATACACTTTGTCTATACTGAAGTTTATAGCCTTTTTTTTCGTGTGGGTTGATACCACAGGGGGTAAAGGAAACTGAGGTAATTTCTGATTATTTGCTTATTCCAGTTTTTCTACATTTCTACCTTTGGTTTTAAAGGGCTGTTTTTTTCCATTCTCTTTCTGCTTTGCGTGTTGTCTTTTTTGATATGCACTCAGTGACCAAGAACTTTTCCAGACATTTTCTATTGCTCTGTGGTTTGGGCCTTTAACAGTAGTTTTAAAAATATTAAAGGCTATGGTGCTTTTAATTCCTTCCTCTAGCCTTCTGTCATCTCCCCTTTTCCAAAGTATATTAGCAAATAAAGGGATGAACTCTTCTTCGTAAAATAGTATAAAGGTTTATGTTCAATTTTGACAGAAGGCCAGAGTCTCGGAGGTTTTTGTCAGGATGGAAATGTTTCGTGTGTACAATTCTCTACAAAGAAAACACAGTTTGAATCAGACCGGTGTGCAGCACTGCTTCGACATTTAGATTGCGCAGGGTGTAGGTAGGGATAGAAGTGATTTCCGTGGTGTTTGCTGAGAGCAGGAGTCGGTGGGATCAGGGCAAGTAATTACCTCAGGCTTCTCTGAAAAACTCTGTCCAAACCTTTCAATCACAGTCTATTCTAGTTATGCTGGAGCAAATCTGGAGTGACTTGAGTAATGTTAATGAAATTACGTTTTGTTCATAGTGACATGGGAAAGCATAGAGCATGGATGTCAGTCTTTATTATAATGATGCAAAATCTGGCTTGGAGATAAACTGGAAGTTAGCATCCCTGAGTGATCATACCCTTAGTCTTGGTTGCTGAGGGGAAGCCTCGTTCTTCTGAAATGAATCAAAATGGTTCCTGTTTGCTGATGCCAGTCTTTTTGAAGCATTCAACTTTTAAAAGTAACAATGTACTTTTGAAGAACATGGAGAGGTTTTCTCTTTTCAAGCAGATTCTGGAAATTAAAAAAAAAAGTTGATAAAGTAGAATTGTATTGAAGAAGTGTATTATATAGAGTCCACTAAGATGTAAGTTATTTTTTTCCTTCTACGAATCAGCTTATCATCTCACCTTTCAAGTCACCCTCCAGATCAAAAATGAAAAATACAAGGTCAACAAAGTTCATACGTGGATGTTAAATTCCCAATTATGAGTGATTTCCTGATTATTCTTTGAAATTAGCAGTACAGATTTGAAGTCGTTAGTGCCTAATTCGTAAAGACTTGTTTGCTGAACTGTACAGGGTATTGTCCTAATTTACTAGCCTAAGTCACATTAAACATTTAATTCAGCAGTACAGTTGTAGTTTACCGCTTGATTTACTAGTTACAGATTTATTTTCTCTAATGAAGTTGTGTAATACAGAGCTAATATAGATATTGGGATGTTTTTAGATACTCTGCACCTTTACACTAATGTATTATTTGCTATGTACGATTCTGATGGATTTGTCAGTTGACTTCAGGATGCATTTTGTTTATCTTTATTTCTTAAAGGAGAATTATAAGATTATGCCATTTTTGCTAACTGCTTTGAGAAGAGGATTTTTTTGCTGTTCATTGGTCATTTTTGTTTAAAAAGAGAATGGTTTGTTCTTATATATATCTTTTTGACCATTTTTTAGTTGTTTATAGAGCAGGAGGAATTCAAATAAGACAGAGCTTGTGCTGTATCATCTATGTGTATCATCTTGGATATTCGTTAAGACAGTAGCACATAGGCAATAAATAAGAGGTTTGACTTCTGAAATGCTGAACATCCTCAACTTAGTGGCTTCAGAAAGAGCTGAGGACATGGTGTGGCAATGCTAACATTGACATTAATGTTTGGCATGGTCACACACAAAGTCAAAGAGATACTCATTGCTAATGTGAATGGGAATTTTACCATTGGCATTAGCAGAACTGTATAGAAAACTTAATACTGAGTCAATTTATTCCACACTACTTTCATCTCCACGCTCCCAACTGGAGTCAGGGAGAGTTTCAGATAAGCAGGCCCTGATTCAGGAAGGTATGCAGAAAAGGAAACTTCCATTTGCACAGAAGAAGTCAGTGGGATGGAAATAAACCTTTGCAGTTAAGAATGAGCTTTAGTAATGCCTCGAATAAAGCATGGATGTCAAACTTTGCTTGAATACTGTCTTAAATCAGGGCCTTATAGAACCAAGTGTGGGACCCAGACAGTTCTAAATTCTGTGTACAACACCATAAAAAATTTTATTTTTGTCTTGTGTATATGTAAATGTAGTTGTGATATTGACTTATTTATTAATTCATTTTCTTATACTATGTGCCAAGTATATTCCTATCCTTTTGATCAGTACCTGTGAACATCAATTACTAAAAATAATGTTATGCAAACTTGTGCATTGTAACCAGGAATATGGTGCTAATAAGCTGTTGCATGTAGTGTTAAATAATTAAGAAAACCCTTTATTTAAAAAATGTAAATGGATACCTGCAGATGTTGATGATTATATATGGTTTTGCATGCCAAAACTCATTGTTCAGTTGTGGGCATGAAATGTAACGACTGTATTACCTCTACTGAATATATTAGTAAGGTACAATTTACAAAGTAATTAACAGAGCTCTATATATAAAATTTTTCCTTTTACTTAATTATATTGTAGTAGAGGTAACAGAACTGCTTCTCTGTTACCCAAATTGGCTGTAGAAATTATGTTCCTATAACACTCATTTAAAGTCAATATTTATTTATGTATGTAATACAAAAAGATTGGTCTTATGTGTTTGTCCTGTTATTTAGAGAAAAAAATACACTTCTTGTAAAAACAATTTGTAAAAAAATGTAAATGTAAATACGAGTCTGATTTCTTTTACTCACTATTTTCATGTTTAGAATTTGTACATACTGTTTAGGTAATAAACTATCCTACATCAAAATCTTGCTACATTATCTCCTCCATACAGAATTTATAGTTTTGTTTTTCTTAAGTTAAAGACATAGAGTTATCTAAGAAAAATCAGTGTCACAACAAGTACCTTTGCTACACCTAAATTTCATTGTGTATCAAGTCATACCATTTTATCCTACATTTACTACAGCATTTTGTTTTGTTTAGAAAGTGATCAAAATAATCTGAAAATAAATTTAGATATCATTTGAGTCTTTTAAATTCAAAAGCAATCCTTGAAGTAAAAAATCACTCAAGAACTTGCCATCCCTTTCTTTGTTTTAATGGGATAGTTCACAGTGAAGATTTGTTCACCCTTTGTAATAGTAACTTAAAATAATTAAACTGTTGCTGGATCTAATGTCAGTGGCCTGATCCTGCGAGTCAAGATGTTCATGACTGAAACTCGTGGTGAAATCTATGTATACACCAGATTTGGAGTATTTTCTATTTTAAAAGGCAGTATCCCATGATTTAAATTTTATATTTTTAATAAATATAAATATCTGTCTTAGAACAATCATTTAACTGTTTCAAATTATCATAGATGTGCTATCATTCTCAGGGATCGTATCTTTAGTTCAGGGATGTGCCTTTGACTTACTCTTGAC